TCCATTTTAGACCTTTTTAACAGATTGTCCATACATGTCATGCTGGTCATTCACATAGTCCTGCACAATCATGGTCTTTCTTATTTTTTTTCTGTTTTCTTTTTCTTTTCAGTAACTTGGTATGTTTGTCCATTCTTGTGCGAATGTGATTTTATCTCCAAAACTCTAGTTTTATACTTCTTAACTTCTGATAATGCATGTATCTGCTAACAATTATGAGTGTCTGGCTCTTTTATTTATCATTGGGATTTTCTATATACATATCAGTGTCAAATTCCACAAAATCTCTTAGTAACATTTTGATTGCAAAGATACAGAGTGAATAGATAATTATTTTTCAAATTAATTCTATTTATTTGTAGTATTTAATTTGTTAAAGGGCATGTGCATTTACCAGAGAGATGGAGAGACAGAGAGAAAGAGAAGGAAAGTGAGAAAGCAAGCTGCCAGATTCAGGACTTGTGCCTGATCAGATATGTGAGAGTTCAGCACTTTAACCACCGCGCCACCTGCTGGCCTCTAAATTATCAGTTTTATTTTATATACATATATACATACATAAATTTTTTTTTTTGAGAGGTTTTTGCTATAAGGCACATGTACTTGCTAGGAAGACATAGAGAGACAGAAAGCAAGAAATCAACCCCCAAGGAGGATGGTCATGCCACAATCCCTTATTCTCCATTCTCCTCTTGGGATCTTGGGCACACACGCACACATGCCCAGTGTGAGTTTAAGCCATCAAGTCTGGGACTCAAACCGTAGTCAACTACATGGGAGTCCAGCAACATAGTCATTATGCCAACTGCTGGTACCTAGATGATTAGTTTTAAACACTGAGCAGTAGGAATGTAGGAATGTAGTATTTCAATGAATTTATTTAGGATCTCTATAATTTTCAATAACATTTTCATTTTTTTCATTGATGAGTAGGTGCAGTCTAGAATTTTAAAAATATATATATATATTTTTTTTCTTAATAGAGCATGTGAGAGGAAGAGCAAGAGACCTGGAGAGAGAGAGAAATGAGTGATAGAGATGAGCCTTCTTCACAAGGCTTGGTAATTCTGCAACTGGTTTCCTCCAGTCCTCTGGCCCATCACATCCTGGCACGCTCATGCATGGTATAAGTATATAAACCTCAGTAGCCATGTGATATTCAGTTTCCCTTGAAGATCGAATCACTGCTATACCACGAGGCTGGTCCTCGGTCTAGAATTTATAATATATTTTATCAGAGCCTAAAATTTCCCTTTTATTATGGACCAGTAGGTGTCACAGTGGTTAGGACCCTGGACTACCACATGCCTGATCTTGGTTCAAGTCCCAGACCTGGTAGCTTGAAAATCAAGCCAGACACATGTGCTTGCCCAAAATTTCAGGAGGAGAATGGAGAGGGAGGAGAAGGGATTACAGCATGGCCATTCCCTTTGAGGAGAATGATTTCTCACATTCTTCTGACTGTCTCTATCTGTCTCTCTCTGGCAAGCACATGCATCCTATGGCAAAAACCCTAAGGAAAGAAAATTCTCTTTTATTATAAATATTTACTGTTTTGGGGCATTCTTAATGATGTTATTTCTTCATCTGTTCAAATATCCATTGTGTTACTAAGTTTACCTTGATAATATTATTAATTATATTTACATTATCAAAAGTTAAATTCCTTAATGAACTTGAGGTTAACTCTACTTGGAGTGTATTATAATTTTAATTTATTTCTAAAATTAATATCTAGATATGTTAATATTGTTCAGGATTTATATATCTATGTAAGTAAAATGATGTTTATGAGTTGCCATGTGGGCCTCACTTTTATACGCTGTGGAAGTGTTTATGTGTAACATATGTGCTTGTTTTCCTTGAATGATTGGAAGTAACTCCTTTTAAAATAATCTGAAGGGAAAACAAGTTGGGAAAATAGAGGGAAAGAAAATGCAAAGTTAATTGCAAATGTTTATTCAAAATGCTTGATTATACATGATGAAAATGAAAAAAAGTTTTAAGAATAGGATTCAAGGGAACCAGCAGATGTTGTAATGGTTACGTCACTGGACTCTCACGTAGCTGACTACAGTTCAAGTCCCAGACCTACTGTCAACTTATGCCGGGCATGTGTGCATGCATATCCAAACTCCAAGAAGAGAAAAGAAGAGAAGGGATTGTGGCATGGCTATCCCCATGCCACCCTAGGGGTTGATTTCTTGCTTTCTATCTCTGTCTCTCCCTGTTTCCAGTGAGTGCATGAGCGCTATAGCAAAAATTTCTCTAAAAAAAAAAAAAGAATAGGATTGAAAATTTTAAAGCCAGGGCCAGCAAGTGGCATGGTGGTTAAGACACCGGACTCCCACATGGCTGACCTAGTTCAAGTCCCGGATCTGGTAGCTTATTTTCTCACTTTCTCTTTTTCTCTCTCTCACTCTCTCTCTCTCTAGTCAAAATTTAAAAACTAATAATGAATTCATTAAATTAAATAAGTAATTCTTTAAAAAAAATGTAAAGCCATTTATACACTGTTAAGATGTACAATGAATGGGGCCTATTGGGTGTTATAATGGTTAAGGCACTGGACTCCCATGTGACAGACCATTGTTCGAGTCCTGGACTCAGAGGCTTGAAACCCACATCAAACACATGTGTGCCCATGCCCAAAAGCCCAAGAGGAGAAGGGATTGTAGCATGACCATCCTTCTTTGGGTGTGATTTCTCACTTTCTGTCTGTCTGGTGAGTACCCGCACCCTGTAGCAAAAATTCGTCTAAAAAAAAAAAAAAAAAAGATGTACACAAATAATTGTAAAAACAATTAATTATAAAAATAAAACTATGGTAAATCTACATCATTCTTCTCAATGCCATGCCCAGTTGTCTTTACTGAATCAAATAACTTTTTGTCTTATTTACATTTCAAATTTTAGTACTTTGTATTATTCATCTATCACCTGGCTCCTCTTGCTCCCTATTACCTGCTTTTTCATTTATCATCCTATGTTATAAAATATTATTTGCCTACCCCTGAGAAAATCAAAATAACATGCCCTGTTTTATAGTGATATTTCTTATTTTGCTGTGGGATTAGTATATTGGTAGTAATTTTCATGAAATTTTAGATGACGAATTCAAAAATACATTTCAATACTTTGTTTTAATAATTATTTTTATTATTTTAACTTTATTTATTTATTTATTTATTTTAATTTGACCAGAGTGGGGCAGACTGTGAGAGAGACAGTGAGCAAGATAGAGAGACAAAGTGAGAGAAAGCGAGAAGGCAAATCACTAGGTCTGGGACTTGAACTGTGGTCAGCCATGTGGCAGTCCAGTGTCTTCAACTACCATACTACTTCCCAGCCTCATTTCAATAAGTTTTTAATCTTAAAATGTACTAGACAAAATATAACTGCAGCATGAAATATATGATTTCAAAGATACTACTGAGACCAGCCAAATACTGAAATCACTGCTAGTAATTCGTTCTCACACAGAATACATTAGAGATTAAGAATTTGGTTGATATATTAATTTATTGCAGGGATAAAATCAGAAAGATTACACTGAGAAGCTCTGGAGTATTTTTGTGGGAGTTTATGTGTTATATAGAGTTTATATGTTATGGTGGGGATTACTGCAGTCCCACTCACTTATTTTCAGTCATTATAAAATACCATTGAACAATGTTTAAAGCACAGTCTCTGGAACAGTTGGTAGTACACCAGGCAGCAGTGCTAGGAGACACATGTGGTTGTATGGCTCTCATGCCCAGGAACCTGAAACAACCTCGCACGCCACTCAGATTCTGAGAGCTGCAGTACTGGGCAAGCTCATCACAGTCGTGCAGACCCTTTTGGAGGTCTCTCTCCCGCTTTGTTTCTCTCTGCCCATGAGTACACACATGCTCGCTGTATCTATCTATCATCTATCTATCTATATCTATATCTATATATATGAAAACCCACAAAGGTATGCACTAAAGAAAGAATGCAGCTCTTTCTAAAATTGCCAGAAGGCATGTGGGTTCACCAGAGAGAGAGAGAGAGAGAGTAAATTAGAGGTAAGTCACATCCCACTGGGGCGCAGTCATGATGTTATCCTGTCTCCATTTTAGCATCCTGTTGAGATTCTGGATATACTGGCATGTATGTCCAGCATGTTCTTCAAGTTGCTATGGCCAGAACTTGACCCACAGTTGTCCATATGAGATCTGGCTCTCTTAATCACCATGCCATGGAGCTGGCCAAAGAACACATTTTTAAAAGATCAATAGAATGATGGAATGAAAATACTATTTATGTATATGGATATGTGGAGTTATAATGAGAAGTAGTAAATCAAAGTCTATTAATTGAGTTAATAATGGTTTTCTTTGGAAACTGGGACAGAAATTGCAAAAGTGAGAAGCAGAAAGCTATTCTAAATATTTGATATACTTCAACAAGTTACACGTGTTTTTAATTTGTTAAAGGTTCCATGTTCGAGAGAGAGTGAGAGAGAGGAGAAAAAGAAAAAGAAAATCCTATGTGAAGGGATGGCCACAATGCAATTGCTTTTTTTTTATTTATCTTTAAAAGATTTTGAATCCTCATGTACATGCACCAGGTGGAATTTTAAGTGATTTGAGTCTAGAACTCAAACTGCACAGTCAGCCAAGTGGAATCAAGCCATCTTAACCACCATCCACCAACTGGTCTCAATTACGTGTATTTTAATTGAAAAATATCTTTGAAAGAAAGATCAGGCCAAACTTTTGCTAGTTATATACTGTTAACAATCATGATATCATTCTATATAGCTTGAATAATAATTAGTATATAAAAATAAAATAGCTACTCTGAATCTTATGCCGTAATGATCTTGGTTCAATGATGGAAATGTGTTTCATTTTAATTATTCACCTAAGAAAATGTTACACATCATGGTTTAAATACTAATTTTTTAACAGGTGATCTCTCCTGAAGCTCAATGACTTGGTGATTCTTTTCACTGTGGTTCCTTAATGGCCTGGATGGAAGAACAAAACAAAACTGTGCTGAATGAATTCCTACTGATGGGACTCACAGACCGTCCTGAGCTGCAGGCTCCCTTCTTCGTATTGTTCTTTCTGGTCTATGCAACATCAGCGGTGGGCAATGTGGGCATGATCATCCTCACTATGACTGATGACAAACTACAGACCCCCATGTACTTTTTTCTCAGACATCTGGCTTTCATTGACCTTGGCTATTCAACAGCTGTGGGACCCAAAATGTTAGTACATTTTGTAGCTAATGAAAATACAATCCCCTATAATTGGTGTGCTGCACAGCTAACATTCTTCATCTTTTTCATTATTAGCGAACTTTTTATTCTCTCTGCAATGGCCTATGACCGCTATGTGGCCATCTGTAACCCTCTGCTCTACACAGTTGTCATGTCACGAAGAGTATGTTGGGTGCTGGTGGCAATCCCCTATCTCTACAGTGCTGTTGTCTCTCTAATAACCACCATCAAAATTTTTATTTCATCTTTCTGTGGCTATAATGTCATTAGTCATTTCTACTGTGACAGTCTTCCCTTGTTAACTTTACTATGTTCTAGCACACTTGAAATCGAGTTATTCGTATTGATCTGTTCCACATTTAATTTGGTTTCATCTCTTTTTATAGTTCTTATATCCTACATTCTGATTCTTGTGGCCATCCTCAGGATGAATTCAGCAGAGGGTAGGCGGAAGGCCTTCTCTACATGTGGATCTCACCTGACAGTGGTAGTTGTACTATATGGAACTCTATCCTTCATGTATATGCAGCCTAAGTCTAGTCACTCCTTTGATGCAGATAAAATGGCTTCTGTGTTTTACACTCTAGTCATACCCATGCTGAATCCCATCATCTACAGCTGTTCTTTCTGGTCTATGCAACATCAGCGGTGGGCAATGTGGGCATGATCATCCTCACTATGACTGATGACAAACTACAGACCCCCATGTACTTTTTTCTCAGACATCTGGCTTTCATTGACCTTGGCTATTCAACAGCTGTGGGACCCAAAATGTTAGTACATTTTGTAGCTAATGAAAATACAATCCCCTATAATTGGTGTGCTGCACAGCTAACATTCTTCATCTTTTTCATTATTAGCGAACTTTTTATTCTCTCTGCAATGGCCTATGACCGCTATGTGGCCATCTGTAACCCTCTGCTCTACACAGTTGTCATGTCACGAAGAGTATGTTGGGTGCTGGTGGCAATCCCCTATCTCTACAGTGCTGTTGTCTCTCTAATAACCACCATCAAAATTTTTATTTCATCTTTCTGTGGCTATAATGTCATTAGTCATTTCTACTGTGACAGTCTTCCCTTGTTAACTTTACTATGTTCTAGCACACTTGAAATCGAGTTATTCGTATTGATCTGTTCCACATTTAATTTGGTTTCATCTCTTTTTATAGTTCTTATATCCTACATTCTGATTCTTGTGGCCATCCTCAGGATGAATTCAGCAGAGGGTAGGCGGAAGGCCTTCTCTACATGTGGATCTCACCTGACAGTGGTAGTTGTACTATATGGAACTCTATCCTTCATGTATATGCAGCCTAAGTCTAGTCACTCCTTTGATGCAGATAAAATGGCTTCTGTGTTTTACACTCTAGTCATACCCATGCTGAATCCCATCATCTACAGCTTGAGGAACAAAGAGGTAAAAGGTGCCTTGCAGAGGATATGGAAAAATGTGCGCAAACTTCCTGTTTAACTTGTGGGACACAGATATGGTTTATTACCTGTTGATAATCACGTGTGTAGTATTCTCAACCAGGGTGGACTGAGGTGTATATCACGCTGGGTAAAGTCTCTTTACAATCTAAATGATGTACAGCAATTGAATATATAAATAATAATAATCATAATCAAAATAAAATTTAAAAATTTCAATGTTGAAAGTAAACACAGTAAGATTGTGGACAACTTTTTATATATGGGTTAAGTCACCAGAAAACACTAATGCGTGAAGGCAAGGGAAACGAGAGATGTCTTCCTTGATTTCAACATCTGAATTCTGAGTATTAGTTATCCTTTCTGTATCTATTTCATTTGTCCTTAATTTCATTGTATGTGCCTCAAGTCTGCATTATTGTGTTAAGATCTCCAAGTAGGTATGTTACACTTTCAAGGAAGCCTTTTCCTATGCATTTTCATCAGATTTTCTTTATCAAAGACATGACTAGATCTTAAATTTTAATTGCCTACAGAAAGGGAATAAGCATCCAAGTGACTGACTTACAGACACTTCAATTCTGTTTCCCTTGTGGTGATATGAAATCTTAGATTTCTGTAAAATTGTGGTATCTGTCTAGCTAATGTGTGTGTGTATCTGTTGTAAATGTACCAATACACCACACCCCTAGATTGGAAGACAAATGTCATGTAAAAGTTTCAGTTTCTCTTAAATTTTTCTATATATTTAATAAAGTAGTTGTCAGAATACAAACAGCAATTCTTTTAATACTCAGGATGATTTCAAAGTTTATGTTAAAATGCAAGGTATCTAGCATAGCCTAGGCAATATTGAGAAGAAAAAAAAAAATCTTGAGGGCATTGAATAACACATATCAGTACTTTTTTAAAAATGTATTTCTTTTTTGAGAGGTTTTTGCTATAGGGCACGTGCACTTGCCGGAAATGCGGAGAGAGACAGAGAGACAGAAAGCATGATATTACCCCCCAGGAGGATGGCCATGCTGTAATCCCTTCTCCATTCTTCTCAAGATCTTGGACATGCACACAGATGCACCCAGCGTGAGTTTAAGCCACTAAGTCTGGTACTCGAACCGCGGTCGACAACATGGGAGTCCAGCGACATAGACATTATGCCAACTCCTGGTCCTGAGTACTTTAATTAAAGGTATATTATTTTAAAATTGTGTCATTGTTGTATGTATGGACAAATTGAGCAGTAAAATAAATAGAAAGAAGTGTAGAAACAGACTTTTATGTGAAATTTAACTTGACTTAAATCTGTCTTTTTTGTAGTTTAGTGAAGAAATTATAAGCTAAGTAAATGGACCCATTTCAATTAAATTTTCTTTGTAAAACAGTGAACCTTAGTCATTTACTTCCTCTGTATACAAAAATCAATTGATTGTAAGTAAGTATGTGAGAAAGTGCATGTTAAATGGTCTATTTAGCGTCCCATAATGTGTATATATATCAAAACATCATGTTATACATCATAAATATATACATTGTTTTGAACAACAATTCAAAGTGCTGCTGTGGAGAAATGATTGTATCATTTATTTACCTTGCTTGATGGATGTAAATTGCTCCAAAAACTGAAAAAATCATTTATAAATTATTTTCATAAAGGAAATCCATTCAGATAACCCTAGTCTGGCTATCTAATCTGATGTCAGTCAGCCAACTCGTTCTCCCTTCTTGAGAGTTTGCTTTTCTTTGCTTAGCCAAATAAAGTTTCCATACTATTTATCTGCTGATGTCTATCTTCTATTCTTTGTCAGTGACCAAGAATAGAGAATCACAATCTTCCTGTAACAACATCAGTCCAAAAAATAGACTCAAATAGAAATTCAGGTATACATTCATCAAAATGTGAGCTAGAAAGTCTGTAGTACTGCTATGAATAAAACCTCCAATGGAATCGATCCTAATATTTAAAAATAGAATAACAGATAACTAATTTTGGTGTATTTATAATATTGAATCATACACAGTAATGGCAATGAACAATCTAGAACTAGTCATAATAATACATTAAATGACAATACTCAGCCAGAAAAAGGTAACATGTATATATGATTTCATTCAGAAAAAGCAACCAATATAGATGAAAATAAGAAGTCAGAATGGTGATAATATACTTTTGTGTATTTGGGGATAGCAGTTCATGGTAGAAAGAATGAAAAAAATCTTTTGGGGTCTTGATGTTTTATATTGTTGCTGCTGTTTACTCTGGATTCCAGTTACATAAATACGGTAAGTTTGAACACTTTTATGCATGTTGTTTGCATTTGTTTATATGTATTTTCTATTTCAATAACAAATGCAAAGCACTACAAAATAAGTGGAAATCAGCTACATATATCAACATTCTTCATGTGAATTTGTGAAAAACTGCAATACCTAGAAAGCCATAAAAAGTCACCGTAATTTAAAAGGACTACAAAGATATACAAGAAAAGCAAACAAACCAAGCAAAAATTGAAACAAGACAACCACCAAAAAAAAGAACCATGTCCTGCAATAACAATGTTTTGATTTTGTATCTCCGGAACTCAACCACAAGCACCTCTGGAAAGTCGGCTAACACGACTTTTCTTGGGTAGGAGTATAAAGGTGCTCTGTGTAATTAGCAGATATCCATCCACTGGCTTTTTTGAAGCTTTCAAATGCTTCAGGTGTAATTTACAAATTGCATCCCTTATCCTCAGGGAGAGTCTCAAAGGATGAAAGAAGCCCATAAATTGTTCTTAGTGGGTTATGTTAGGAATACACAGGGTGCACCGAGATTCCTCATTAGAGGTGAGTAGACTGCCTGTTCCTGTAACTACTCCTCAGAATTCTAGCAACTACCACCTGATCTAGGCAATTCAATCACAGCATAACAATTGGAATTGACACTGAGGGTTTTAGGCTTGTACAATATTATAACCATCTTTGTTACTAAACATATACTTCCGTATAATTCACTGATGTTCTTTGAATAGCAAAAACAAAAGCCAAAAACATAGAGTCAACATCTAAAAAGAGAGCTAATAATTATTAGGAAATTCTACCCCTATGTTCCTAAGAGCTTTATAATTATTTTCTTTCACTTAGATTCTCAATAAAATTCACAAATAAGATATCATTATTTGTTGTTTATCAGATTTGTCTCAAAATTTTAACCTCGAACAACAGATTTCTATAGAATTTTACATTATGCTCTAAATTAAAGGGCGTATATAAATATTTTATGATTCTTGCATTCTCTATTCCATATATGTCATATGTATTTCATATTTTCCCAGTTTACCAATGATACTGAAGAAATCAATATCATTTTCAAGGCATTACTTTTAATTGGTGGTAAGACCAAACTGAATTACTAATGTATCTGGGCCAGCCAGTGGTATGGTCATTAAGGTTGCTGGATCCCACATGGCTGACAATGGTGTCAGTCCTGGACCTGGTAGCTTTAGACACTCTGGGGTGAATGCCCAAAGTCCTGAAAGAAAAACTGGAAAAGGGGTTGTAACATGCCCCTTTTCCATGAGGGGTGCTTTCTCACTTTCCCTTTCTCTGTCTGTTTCTCTCCAGCAAATACACATGCCCTTTGGTAGAGTAAAAAAAAAATAATAACAATAAGGCATCTATTATACTATATATGATGCCTCATTCACTTTATAATGTCATATTAGAAAGAAGATAGGTCTCTTCCCTTACCTGCCTGACTCAGAGGAATCCTTAAAATGTGATAAAATTGTGCCCTGAATAACTAACTGTAAATCTAACAAATATAATAAAAATATTTTAGAAAATTAATAAAGCCAAATAATATTTAAACCTTCACAAATAGATGCTTAACTAAAAGCAGTTCTTCCAAAAACACAAAGCAGGTTTGTGTATTTTGTTTAAATGAAGATTTCATTAGTGACTATAAAATTATTTTTTTCATTCATCAATTATTTTGATGTTTAAATGACTGCAAATGAATATTTTTATCTCTTTATACTACAGTTGTGGCCAACTCTGTGTTTTAGTGTTGAAAGCCATATTTGGCAGAGGATAAGGAAGTGACAGGACTGGGGGATGAGCTCATTTCTCTAACCTCTCAACTTGGACTAATTTCATAATTAGGTTTCAATGCTAAGGTCTGCCTATTGTTTTTTAATAAGTTTTTTGAGTCCAATAAAATGAAAATATATTTTTATTGAAAGACAAAAAGCATATTTAAAAGGTCAGAACCCGATCATCCTCAATAATCGTATAAAGATGGAAATATAAACAGAAACGTGAAAAAGAGTCATTCTTTATATACAACTATAAAGATAAATAGCTCGTGTTTTTCTTTTCTGACAAATAGAGAAACTAGCAATTACTTCCATGAGTTAAGAGAAAAAAAACCCACCTGTTTCAACCTCTTATTTATGTAGTCAGATATTATTAATGCTACTTTGTAAGTTCATTTATTTTTTATTCCATGAGTAAGAAACAGTGAGATAGAAAGACAAGGTCATGGTCCACTCTCAGCTCTAGCCATCCTCAGATCGTGGGTATATTGAAGGAAGTATGGACAGGACCTGGAATCTTCCCCTGTAGGTCAGCCTCACAGAATAATGCGGTTATTTTTCCCACTGTACCACAATCCAGTCCCCTGATTTATGCTCTTTTTCATACCTGCTGATATGTATATCTAAATATGTTGTCTCTTAGAAATTGATTTAGGGTTCCTAAATAAGCCAATGTTTTGGTAGAGACCAGGAAAGTATATTAGAAGTCATCGCTGATGTGAGATAATCATAGGTTAGTTATTTTTTCATAGGTTTCTTATAGAACTGATGTATTTTTTTTTTGCTGATTCAATCAAATCCCTATTCCATACTACATTCATTACCATAATTTCACAATGATTATAAACTTCCATTTTACTAGATGAGTGAAAAATGAATTAGTTCTGAAAAAAATATTTGATTTTTGCATTAACCAAAGAAATAATGAACTATAATATATAATCACATTAAATGTTTAATATTT